GCTCTTTCCGCAATTAAGGTAGGAAATGCATCGGGACGTTCTGTCGTGGTTCTGAGGGCGTCATTGCCCACGGTCAATGCCAAATACGCCGCAGAGGCAACGTTCTAAAATGAGCCCAACCACCGGTCGTTTTGAGGCTGGAACTGGAGAGGACCACAATTGGACAAGACGCAGTTCGTAGTGCCGTAGAAAATCTGTCCGAATCTCCGACAAAGTAGGGTAAACGGGGTAGGAATCATATTTAAACCTAAGGGCTTTAAGCTTTTGTGTATTTTTAGACAGGTGTAGAGAAATCAGCTGAATCAAGGTATGACGGTGTAGTGACTCAGACATACTCTTCATCACATCGCTTTTCCTCTATTTCAAATTAATTTTTAGGAATTATCTCAAACGAGATACTTCGGCTTAGTCTGGGAGCACTTACCTCCGCAAGAAGCGGTCTGTTGGCGCTCCTTCACATGTACCCCTTCTTTGAGTTTTACATCTGCATCGGCCTTATGGTAAAGCCGTGTGTGCCTCAGCATGAAGGAGAACCGTGCCTGCATAGCATCTAAACCCCAACGAAACCCTCAACTTACCGTGAGGTTGCTAGTTGGCTTCTGTAGACACGGGACTTTAGCTGCGTCGAGGCAACAAGAAGACTACGACTGGAATGACTTTGGATTAGCATATCGCTTTGCCCCTCTATGAAGCATATAATTGTAGCGTATTTACGCAATATACGATTTCGGTCGTACGGTAACCACCTTCCTCTTCTGTATCTACAAATTGCTACTATAACTTCTTATTACAAAATGATTATGTACACCATCCTATTGCTATCAAATTTCCCACTGAAGTCTTTCTATTAATATTTTTCCCTTTCCTTTCGTCATTCGTTCACAGTTCTAACTTTGATTAATTTCATTTCGCGTAGAGGTGTCTAACCAAAGGATTAATGAGTTGATCTCACCAAAAGATGAGGTGAGATGTCGTCGCACAGTCTAGAAGACATCCTCCTATTTCATATCTTCCTGACTTGGTATTAGCTTAAAGCTTTTGTAGGAATTAAGTACAGCTCTGTTGATGCCTGTCAATTGACAGCAAAATTTCTCCGGAGATGACTGAGAGTGACTGCAGAGCAACAGAAATTATTTTTCTTGTCTATAGGTGAGACTGACCCATGAATGCCTTCATCAGACGTTTTCACACAAAATGGGTATGCTAGCTAAGGCGATTCCTTCAAATCCATTTACGCTTTCTACATATCCTGCTCCCTATGTCTAGCTGCCGGATAGTAACAATGCATTGCAACCGATGCATTAAAAGAATGTTGATGGGCCACGGTTCATTTGATCCTACAATTTTGACGCAAGTTTGGACATATTGAGGTTGTTTGACCTTGCTTTCGCAACATTGTCATATTGGTAGAAAGACTTAGAGGAACGCACCTAGTCTGGAGTCCATTGTATGCATGATCATTTCCAAATTTGAACCATGGACGTGTTACATTCCCAAACTTGTCTCTTTGACGAGTTGTTGTATGGTGCTAAAAATGGCGATACTCACTGACGATGCCGACTACGAT